TTTATCATTAAATTATTTTTATTTTTTTATTTTTTATCATTAAATTATTTTAATTTATTCATTTATTTTTTTGCTGTACTGCCTTTATTTGAGAGTTACAGTTTCTGTTACTGTGCATATGACTGGCTCATAAAATATGATGAATTGCTATAAATGTAATTACCCAGCAGTGTATAGTGTGGTTAGTTAGCTTCACATTGACCAACAATAACAATCAGAGGGGCCATTCTGCATAATAAGTACTTTTACTATCGATCATTTATGTTGGTTTTGCTGATCACTTCAGTAAAACCTTTTTTCTTTTCTGTAATAGAGTATTTTTAAAGTGTGATATTACTACTTTTAACAAAGTACTTCTACAACGTTAGGTATGAGTAAGTTATTTGCGATATTATTAACATTATTAATAACTTTACTTGTATAGCTCTATAAAAACAGAGTAACAGAGTCCCTTACAGTAAAAGGATATGTTCAATACAATCTGATAAAATGAAGATAACTAAAACAATAACATTACAAGCGACTGAAAAGGTGCCTTTTAAATGATAGCTCACTAGAAGTAAAAGCAGCTGTGTTTGCTCCCCTCTCAGATGAGTATGGACTCTTACTCCTGAGTCTCTATATATTTCACAAGCTGTGAACAGGAGGGATGTTGTTATTTCGCTGATGTCACACAACAGGAGGTTGTATTGGAAACACCCTGCTATTGTTTGCTATTGTAGGAACTCAGAGTATTCTGCTATGTAGATAGATCTGATCAGGAAGTTAGGGTGTTTTTGGGACACTAATACAGTTTCTGACAGTGATTTTATTTGCTTTTTTAAATGCAGCACTTAAAATCAATGACTTGTTTTGCCAGGAATATGAATTCACTGGTGAGAAGTGCATGGTGTCACACTTCCCTCAGTCATAGTAAGTCCAGTTCTGATCTTGTAGTTTGATATTTATAGCTAATGATGACCAAGCAAACATATTCTAGAAGTGGGAAGTGGGACGGGTGAGGTCAGTGAACTCCAAGCACACAGTCTGAGCAGTCTGGTGAAGGTTTGCTGTGTTCTCGTGTTTTTATTGAATGCTTGGAGCTAAAACATGTGTAGTGTCCCTCAACTGTTTTAACACCACACTGCTCTGGGTTTGGCTAAATGTAGAGGAGACCTGATGAGATAGAAAGTTGTGTTGACACAAACTGGATGTTTGTGTTGTGCAGAAGGAAAACAGGATGTCCTCCCTGGTCAGCGCTGGGACAAAGGAGTGTCCCCGCTGGCTCATATGAAGGCTCTCATGCCTCGAAGTCATGTGATGCCGTAGAAATAAGTCAGAGACGACTGGACTTCTTGTGATCTCGAGGACATTTAGTCATTCAAGAGGCTTAATCAGTTTCGCTGAGACATGGGGAGTTACTTCCTGTATTGAGCGACATCACAGGCTGGGTCATTGAGGTCATCAGATCATGAGACATTACAGTATGTTTAGCCATGCTGGTGCCGTGGCTCTAGGGATGGAAATAATGGTCTGTAGGTCCATCTTTCACTTTGGTCCAGGCTGAAATATTTCAGACAGACATTCATGGTTCCCAGAGGATAAGTCCTTAATTTAATACTTGGGTGTCAAACTCATTTTAGTTCAGGGGCCACAACAGCCCAGTTTAATCTCCAGTGGGCCGGACCAGTAAAACCATTACATATTAAGCTATAAATAAAAACACCTTTAAATTTTTCCCTTTTTTAGTGTAAAGAAGTTTATTCTGAAAATCCGTTTACAAAACAGATGATGATCAGCCCGTGATATCCTCAGAAAAATATGTGCAAATTCAACAGTGTCTCAGTTTTTCCAAATTCAGTCAGTCTGCTACTCACTTTTATTACATGTGCCTTTTTTTTTAAAAATAATTTACCACTAAAGTGGAAGCTATGGAAGAAGCAGGCTAAGTCATCCTCTGTCTTATAAACTATTCACAGTCTGAAGTTTTGTCAGGGCCTCAGCAGCAGGGTTCCACCAATACAGTTTTAAGATGGAAGTCTGATACAGATTCTTTTGTACTGAAGCTGTTCAATATCTTTAAATATGACCACAGTAAGTGTCCATTGTTATTTCAGAGAGCTGTATTCTGGTCGCAGTGGAAAGGCAGCATTTTACATCAAGCACCAACTCACTGTTTAAACCTGACACCTCTTAGGAAGAATGTATATTCATTTGGAAAATGTAGAACCTTTCCAGAAATGTAACTAGGCAGTGGAAACAAAGCTTTTATTTACTTTAATTTCACAGATAAGAAACAATATACTGTGTAGATAAGAAAGCCTCCACAAAATTAGCATTTTAAGTCTTGTGTGTGATTTATCCTGGCTTCATATGAGCAGAGGAAATCTCTGCTAGTCACTAGGCTAATTTATACAATGTAAAATCCCATGGACTTGTGCTAATAACGTTAGCATGTTATATTTGTTTGGAAAACATCTTTAGTATAAGACAGTTGTTTTGTTAGTGAATCTTGAAAGCTGTAATGGAGCTGAATTTTGTAACGTTACCTTCTTTAAATGTTGCTGTTGTCCCTCGTTTTATATGAGTAGAGTAAAACTCCGTTAGCTGCTAGGCTAATTTATACAATGTAAAATGCCATAGGCTTGTGCTAAAAACATTAGCATGTTGTTTTTGTGGGGAAAATGTGTCAGTGAATGCTGAGAGTTATAGAGAAGGTGATTTGTGTAGTTGTGTTTGAAATTGTCTCTATTAAGCCATGTTTAATGTGTGTTTTGAATCGACTATATTTTACAGCACTTGAGAAACCCTGACCCGCTGACTTGTGTTTTGGAGGTGTAACCAAACATACTGGATTACTATTACTTACTGGCTGTAAGCTAAATAAATAAACGATCCGTGAAAAAAATATTTTTTCCAGCGGATGTCTTAGTTACAACATGATTGAGCTAACTGGAGTAGTTTCATGTCGTATCCGACAACGGGAGGCTTTTAACAGATGACGTCCTGATGTTAGCTTTGCTGCTGCTGTTAGCTGTCCCTGTCAGCTGCAGCCACTGATGCTTTCTAGACATCGTGATTTCCCAAAACTGAATAAATACCACACATAGCAACACAAAACTGCTTTGCTAGCTCAATCATGTTGTAACTAAGATATCCGCTGGAAGAAATGCTTTTTTAATCAAGTATCTTTGGTGAAACTGCACTGATTTCAGCACCAGAGAGGCGATATCTGTTGCCAGATCTCGCGAGAGTGTGTTGTTGAGACAGAGACAGTTCTTGAACAAAGTAAATTTTCTCCTGATTTGTCCGTCTGAAATTTGCCATTGTGTTGTCGGAATGTTCTGAAGATATGTGGCTTGTGATAAATGGGTCCAGTATTTGCTTCAGTGAATATGGAGCGAAAGAATCGGCCACAATCTGTAATCATGTTCATTTCTCCTGCTGAAGTCAATGGACTCAGGACCTGCTGTTAGTCTCCTAAAGGGGCGTGGTGGTCGCGAACCCCACGTGACACTGATACAGGAAACTGACTGGCAGTGGACCGTCTTGGTTTATCCACCGTCTTTGGTGTAACTGCAGAGTGACACAGACACACCACTGCACAAGTATAAATGCTCACAATGGCGTAGGCTACGGCGTAGGGTCTGCGCACAAATATAAATCCCGCTTTAGCCTTCACATTTGCATCAATATTAGGTGTGCTA